CACTTCGTCGGAGAAAAATTCCAATCGCGGACGGGGCTAGAGGGATGGCCGGGGGCGGCGGATAGACCGGCGGTGGGGGCGGTTCCGAGGAAGGCGGGGTGGTGAGGCGGTCGCGAGAGGCAGTGGTCGGCGGTTAGACCGGCGGCACATTGGGCGGTCTGGGAGGGGAGGAAGAAGAAGGTCCAAGCGCCACAGGATCTTCATCCAACGGTCCACAAATCGACTGACCCTAACTGAGGAATTTAGTCGACTGATGTAGCCTCTCCAAAAAATCACATACAAAAAAACAGCAAGAGGCCCAGAAGAAACCAAAGGGGGTGCACATCCATAGCTAGCATCGTAGGCTCCCTCCCAGAGCAAATCGACTTCTTCTCGATTTCCTTCCCTAACCCTAGGTGGCTAGGACAAATTCTTCTATCCAAACTTCAGACGGCGAGCCCGTGGATTCGCCTTCCCTCTGCTTGCCGTTTTCGGCAGCCGGTGGTAGGGAGGAGAATCCCGGTGTCTCCGCTCCGGTTAGTAATTTAGGTTGGGGCTTTCTATCCTCGGAGGTGCGGTGCTCGGGCGGATGGCGGCGCTACTTCTTCGAGTTTGTCTTCCGGGCTCTAAGACCCGACGAACACCACGCCTCACAAGCAGCCATGGTCCAGACACGAGCACCACCAGATCCAGATCGGGATCGGGGTCAAGGGCCCAGGCCGCAGCCGCCGCGGAGGTAGCACCACTGGACGGTGCCCTGCCCTCCACCCTCGCCAGAGGACCGAGCTAGTGTCGGAGCTCCGCCGCACCACGCCGCCAAGCCGCCGCCGAGGGAGAGAAAGGGACACGCCAGGGAGAGGCCCAGTCGCAGCCAGCACTGCCCGGGCTTTGCCCGACAGTGGCCCTCGGCGGTGGTGAGGGGGAAGGGAGGTTGGAGGGGGCCGGCGGCGGGGGAAGTTAGGGTTCCCCTGAGTCGCCTTAGAGACGGACGGAGGGACGGGGGGAGAAGGGTGTGTGTTGACAGCCAGCTATACTTCCCCTTAACTTTAATAATATATTCGGATCATTTTCGCAACAAAAAAAGAAAAAAAAAACACCAGGCGCCCGTTCATTCATTTTTGAAGCCCCGGGCTACACGATTCCCTCCCCGCCACCCATTTTCGCCCCCACTTTGCCTCCTGCGCCCACCACTCCACATTTCGCTCTCGCCTTGTTGCCTGCCCTGCCGGGCTCCGTGGGGAGGGGGAGAAAAACAAGAGCTGCCGTTTTACGACAGAAGAGAGACAGGCGAGGCGCCCGTCCCGGACGAGGGTCCATGCATCACGCCGTCCCCTCCTTTTTACCGCGACCGCGACCGCCAGCGGCTGAATGTCAACCCACCACCACCACCACAGCCTCAGCAGCAATGCCGTCCCCCGCGACATCCCCAAGCCCGCCTCCGCCGACGAGCTCGCCAAGAATGGCAAGAAGAAGAAGTCCTTCATGTCCAACATCTTCCGCAAGAAGGGCCGCAGCGGCGCCGGCAGCTCCGACAAGCGCCCGCCCTCCCGCCGAGACCGGGACTTCCTCTTCGGTGCGTCGCCGTCGTCTTTTTTCAGCGCCGGAGGATCGCCGGTCGGCCTCCTCTGTTTCTGACGGTTGCGCGGTCTCCTTGCCATGGCAGATTTGGAAGAGAAATACGGCGAGAGGGAGAGGGCGGACGCCGCGGCGGCGGCGGAGTTCGTGGACGCGTCCCCCGCCGTCCGCAAGAGCGTCTCAGGTGAGCTCTCGTCGCCTTCGGGAGAAATGTGCGTATGCTCGTGGTGATCCATGGATCACATTGCGTTTCTTTTTTCCTTTGGTGTCATGTCACAGATCGGCATTGCGCGAAGCGGATCGAGAGCCTGACCCTGAGCTGCCTCGACTCGCCCAACAGAAACGTCGACACGCGGGAGTACAGGTAAAAAATAAGAGAAACATGATATTTTTTTTCGTCTGAACTTTTGGTCTGAAAGAAGCGGCTGATCTTGTCGAGATGATGGCATTGTGTTGCAGGGTGTTCGTGGGCACGTGGAACGTGGGCGGGAGGCCCCCTAACAGCAGCCTCAACCTAGAGGATTTTCTCCAGATAGAAGGGCTACCCGACATATACGTCCTAGGGTACGTACGTACAGGATCTCCCTGCAATTTTTCAATGAAATTATGATCGATGCTGCACATTTTTTCATATGAATTATGATCTATATGCGCATGCAGGTTCCAGGAGATCGTGCCGCTGAACGCGGGCAACGTGCTGGTGGTGGAGGACAACGAGCCGGCGGCCAAGTGGCTGGCGCTCATCTACCAGGCGCTCAACAAGCCCCAGCAGCAGCAGGCGCAGCAGGACCAGCCGTCCTCCGGCGACGAGCTGTCGCCGACGGAGTCCGTCGCCTCCTCCTCCTCCTCCCGGGCCCGCCCGTCCATCCCCAGGTCCTCCAGCAGCGGCACGCTCTTCTTCTCCAAGCCGACCCTCAAGGCGCTCAGCAAGAGCTACCGCGTCAACAGCGCGCTCGTCAAGACCTGCACCTGCATGGCCGACCCCTCCACCATGCACCGCCGCGCCAGGGAGATGCGGGACTTCATCTACCGCGTCGAGGCCTCCCCGTCCGCCGCCGACGACCCGGACCCCTCCTGCTCCTCTTCCTCCTCGTCGGCGATGACGACGCCCGCGGCACCCGAGGCCGGCGGCATCGGCGGCGGCGGCATGAGCTACTGCCTCATCGCCAGCAAGCAGATGGTGGGCATCTTCCTGTCGGTGTGGGTGCGGCGGGAGCTGGTGCAGAACATCGGCCACCTCCGGGTGGACTCGGTGGGGCGCGGCATCATGGGCCGCCTCGGCAACAAGGGCTGCATCGCCATGAGCATGACGCTGCACCAGACCAGCGTGTGCTTCGTGTGCAGCCACCTGGCCTCCGGCGAGAAGGACGGCGACGAGGTCCGCCGCAACTCCGACGTCGCCGAGATCCTCAAGAGCACCCAGTTCCCCCGCATCTGCAAGGTCCCCGGCCAGCGCATCCCCGAGAAGATCATCGACCACGAGTAAGCCAATCCCATCACCCACCCACAGCAAAATGAAACAAAATCATAGGCTCTGTTTGTGCTCGCTGATGTTGATTTCATCTGTAAAAATCCAGCCGGATCATATGGCTCGGGGACCTGAACTACCGGGTGGCGCTGAGCTACGAGGAGACCAGGGTGCTGCTGGAGCAGAACGACTGGGACACCCTGCTGGAGAACGATCAGGTACCAAAATGGTGAACTGCATTTCAGATTTTTCAGATATGCTACAGTGGCAGCAGCCAAAAACCAAGCAGATTCTGCCGGCTGACAAGAAACCTATTTATCCATGGACAGCTGATGATCGAGAGGCAAGCAGGGAGGGTGTTCAAGGGGTGGAAGGAGGGCAAGATCTACTTCGCGCCGACGTACAAGTACAAGCTCAACTCCGACACCTACGCCGGCGAGACCACCAAGTCCAAGAGGAAAAGGAGAACACCCTCATGGTAGTTACCAGCAGAAAAAGAACTGTCGATGGATCTGAACCATGAAATTTTCAGGTCATTGCCAAACTCTGACGTAAGGTTAACCCCATCTCCATGTCATGTCGATGCAGGTGCGACCGGATACTGTGGCACGGCAAGGGGATAGAGCAGCTGCAGTACATCAGGGGGGAGCACCGGTTCTCCGACCACCGGCCCGTCTGCAGCGTCTTCGTGGTCGAGGCCGACGCCGACAACGGGAGCAGGATCAGGAAGGGCTACTCCACCCTCGACTCCAGGGTCCACTGCGAGTCGCCGTTGCCGATACCGCAGAGACACAGCTTCTACGACTTTTGACCTGTTATAGTGATCCTCTTTTGTCTATACTTCTATAGGTTACACAAGGATCAGAAATGTCTCTAGTGAGAGGAGGGGCTGAAAGTTCTTCAGCTTTCATGCCTAGTACTTTTTCTTGATGACTGAAATGTAAATGGTGGCTTCTAGCAGATATACAAGTTGTTGCCAACTCCTTGAGCTTTAACACTAGCTAGTACTCCCTGAGGAGTAAATAACAGTAGAAAGGGTTGAATAAGAAGACAGAAGTCCGGTCAATGCGAAGTAAACATCAACTTTGATGTGCTAAGTTAAGAAATGGCGGAAAGGCGATATTCAGATTTACCAAAAAAGGAGAGCAGGATATAGCATGCACTCCAATAGTTTTGAAAGAGCAATAGGCATACAAAAACTGAGGGTAGCAAAGTATTTTATCATTGTTACCGTTTGATAGGTTCATTTGTTGCCAAAAGGTTCTTCAAACAAGGTCACAAGGGGGCCGACTACAAAATAAGCCAGGCAACACTTCCCCCTTGTGTGTTAAAAGGGTTGTTATCACTTTTAATGTTCATCTGTTCGTGGGAATTCACTGTGGTGGGAGCTCATATCAACATTGGAATGTACTTGTCATGCTGATAGCTTCAAGGATCAGATGAACTGCCACTTTTGCCTGCTGATGCAATACCTTCCCCTCGCGAGCTTGTCAATTTTACAGTGCTTGATTCGGTCTCTGTTTCTTCTTTCTTTTCAGACCCAGTCTCTGTTTCTTCTTTCTTTTCAGAAACGGTCTCAGTTTCTTCCTCCTTTACAGATTCAGTCGTATTTTCTCCCCTCTTCCCTGATGAAGTCTCGGTCTCTTCCCTCTCCTCAGATGCAGCCTCGGCATCTTCCTTCTCCGATGCAGTGTCTGTTTCTCCACTCTTTTCAGATGCAGCTTCTGTTTCCCCAATCATGTCAGATGCAGTCTCTTCAGTCTTCAAACCCGAGTCACATTGTTGAGACCCGTGGTTCTTCATGCGATATGGCTCTGCAGCAAGAGCCGAGTTCTCGGGGCTCCAGAATAATGGCATCTTTTTATCATCTTCTCTCATCCTTGCAGCATAATCATTTATGTTAAAAGTGACCGGGCTTCTACCGCCAAATGCGCATTCTAACTCATCCAGGTTGAAAAGGTCTTCCATTATCTTGTCAGTTTCAGGTCTATCCGAGTACACAAATTTGACCTTATTTTTCGTTTTTGGCTCAAGAAGGGGACTTGCCATCTGCATTCAGATGTAGTACTTAGTGTTTCGAATTTAACAAGAAAATTATAAGTACACATCTACCGTGACATCTTATATTGGAAGTCTACAAGCAAAGAGGAGAACAAACATATGCTTAGGTACTAGATATGGAACACATCATCCCTATGTTTCTGATTAAGTAACGCTGCGTGTGACATTGAGGTAGATTATTATAACCCAGCTTTTGCCTATTTTTCCGTTTGGCTAACCAACATTTTTCTGCTTTCATGTGTTTTTTTTTGCGGATTATAAAATAAGGTTAAATAGATAAAAATACCGGATCTTTTTCTATTAACGCTGTGTATTTTCCGTTTGGCTAACCAACACAGTTCAGCAACGGCAGCCTAAATAGATAAAAATAAGATGGTTAAAGATTTTACAAATCATACCTTCCAAAAAGACTCAAAAAACTTGGGAGCATTATAAAGAATTGCCACACCCAATCTTTCAGGATAATGACCTTGTAAGACATCTGCTGTCAACTTTGTCACTAGAAGTGACACATTAGGCAAGCTGAAGCCAGCAAAATCAATCAGCCAAACCATCTGATCCTGTCCAGCTGGAAGATTTAGAATTGCATTCTCCATACAGTATACCAAATACCTGATCTGCCCTTTGGACTTCTTGGTATTCTGAAAATGAGCTACCAAAATTAGAGTGACAAAATAACACAATCTAATGTGCACACATATGCACATTTTGATACAAAAAGAAAAAAAGAGCATCATTAAACCTGGCATCCAGGCCGCATGACAAGAATACTCCGTCCACTCTTGTCGAAATAATCACTTCGGTAAATTTTACCAGTCATGGCTTCACCCGATATCTCATCCTGTATCACGAAATTTAAATTAATAATGTGTATCAAATACTACGCCATCAGACCTACTACAATAATGCATCAACTATTCAGCTGTTTCACAAAGCATACTACAAAGATCCAAAATGGTATAAGGCAAATCACTTGTACCACATGGATACATGACATGCTATTTCTTTCGAGAAATATAGGTTTGCTTAAGTCAAAAGGTGGGGACGGCTCACCCAACGGATCTCATCCGGCTTATACTCTGAACGCCATTTCAAGGTTTTCATAAGCATTTTGGTAGCCTTCCTCACGTCCCAGTTCCTTGCTATCAGGTACCTCGCAATTGAACCATCTGAGCAGTATAGTGCAGATTTTCCAGATAGTTGTCCTAGAGCAGCTCTAACTTCACCAATCTAACAAGGAGGAATACAAAAATGAGAAGGAAAAAAAACTGTTTCCGCGCACAATAGGGTAAAGAATATGAGTCACATGTAAGCAAAATACTCAACCCAGGTGATATTGGATCACCTTGGACAGCTGCTGCTCATATAATGCTGCTTCTTTCGCATGGCCATTACTTGCACTGCTCTCTGAGCTCATAATTCTGTCTTGCTATTCCCTATCATAATACAACATGAATCACTTGTAAGAACTGTAAACTGAGTTGGAACAAAGAGAATGCCAGTATTTAGATGATCTGAGGAACAGTATAATGAAGATAAAAAAATTCTAGCAGATAGTGACTACGCTTAAAGGTTGCAGTTATGCTAGTTTGCACCCAATTTGCAATGACAAACCCATTGCCAAGCATATATATTACCCACCACTCACACCCACCCAAAAAAGTACAGTTCATACAGTATAATCTCGCTGGTAACTATGGCAGATGATACTCAGAAGCTAGCTAAGAAACTTATGGAGGGCCATACAGCAGGAGGTGATCTAGTATCCTTGAGTGTGCCTTGCACAGCAATTGAGAACATGGTGGTAAAGACTGGGTAGAGCATTCTGTTGGTCTCGTCTCCATAAAGCATAAGAGTTCATCGACGCCAACCAACTCATTTTTTTCTCAATTTATATGGTTCAATAGTCTGTACAAGTAGACCTGTAACTGAAAGAATGAGAAAGTTACTGAGGCTGGGGCATGTTTTCTTGTGCATGAAATTACTACTCCTGCAGTATGGAGCAATATTTGTGTGTATGTTTAAAACCTACATAGATCGTCTTTATCTTCTACTTGTATGTTAATCCAATCAGACAACCAAGGAATAGTATACAGAAAACATAACGGACAAGGATACAATGTTCACATCAGCCAGGAGATCTTGATGTTGAAGCTGTCGTGTCAGCTATGAACACTATCCAGTTAGTTATCCCGCAGGAGGCAGCAGAACAGCCCAGCAGCAAACAAGACTCCCAAATTCCCACTGCCGGCCAACAAAAACTACGAGTAGCCAGCAAGGAACCACTCCGGAACGGCAAAATTCAGAACATCAACGGAACAGGCTTATGCCCGAAAAAGGAAACAGATCAACAGGCAACCTCGAGTCCTCGACCCTCACCAGGAACCGTCCAGATCCCTCAACAATCTAGCTAAACCGTTTAAAGAGGGGGGATTGCGGAGCAGCCAAATTCCTGAAGCAACCTCCCCAATCTGGCTTGAAACCGCAGTAAACGAATACGGCCAAGAGCCAGAAAACCCCAGTTCTTCCTGCCTGCTCGGGACGGCGCCCGCCGCAAGAACCAAGGAACGCCGTCGAAATGGCACGCGCCCCAAGACGGCGGGGTTAGCTCCCCCGGAAACGCCGCCGCGGGCAGGAATGCAAGATCCCACCCAGCCACGCCTGGCCTCGAGCTAATAAGCCACGCGCGCCGGGACCAGGAGATCCCGCCAAGCCGAGAGCTTTCCGGCACATGCGGCAAATCGTCCGTCCGCCCAAAAAGGGCAAGCAATCTTTGTTCCGGAGAAACAAAAAGGGCGCTAAAAGCGAAACTGGTGCTCAATCGAAGCTGCCGGCGAGGTTCTCGGCGCTCACCTCGGCGACGGCGATGGCGACGGCGAGGCGGGGAAGGCGGAGCGCGCGAGGGTCGGTCGGGTCGGCCGAGTCGTCCTCTCCTCTCCTCTCCCACCACGCCTGGGAAGCGAAGACGCGAGTGGGACTAGTAGTCTTCGTTCGGTGAAGCCGAATCTGCTTCCCGTCGATACGTTCGGGAAACGGAATAAATCGGACGGCTCACGCGCGGCTCGATCCCCTCGCGGTGGGCCATCGGACGGCCGGGCCCGCCCCGCGTGCTGGGCGGTGAACGGGACAGGCGGAAACGGAAAACTATTGGGCTTGTCGGGAGGCCGTGAGCTGTTTTCCCGTGTTGTTTACTGTGCTTGTTTGGCGCTGTGATCAGGGGATCGGATCGGATTGGGCGGTTAAGCGTTGAGGATAATGATATGAGAACATGCTACTGCCATGGTCCGTTTTTCTTGGAGGCAGTAGTGGAAACTAGCTATGCCCGCGCGGCGACACGCCGCTCCCCATCAATACATTATGTGTGTCGTGGTATTTTTATTTTGTGTGAGAATTTAGACCAAAAACATACTTTTATGCACATATGTTTGTAGTCACGGAAACGAAAGTCATGCATTGAAGTAATTTGAAAAATATACATTTATCATCACCATATTTATATAGAAAGAAACACTCCAGAAATTTCGGAAGAAGCGGTGTCAAGAGTCTCAACACAACCACACCTTACGATTTTAGCGCGGGAGACAACTACGTGCATGGGAACATGTGGTCATATCATGCATCCATGCACACGTGGTTATATCATGCACCACGTTAGTTATCATGCAAAAGGTAGCAATGTAAGAAGCAAACCCGCTGATCTCTACACCCACTAAGGGCATTTACAATGGGAGAGGGGCGCTTTTTTGGGTGCTTAGAACATTATAAAAAAATTAACCAAGGAAGAAGCGCCGATGGAGAAGTCCGCCTACTGGAGCACTACTGTAGTCGGTTGAGGATCTGATGCGCTCGTTAGAAAGGATCACGTGAAAAAAAAAGGAGGCCAGGCACCCAACGACTGGCTTGGCATCCATGCCAGCTATAATCCTCGGAACGTTCAGGATTTTTACGAAACGACCAGCAATTGGAACCTAGCGCCTTATCTTAGCACCTGCATTGTAGATACCCTAAACGGCGAAACTTGGATCACACATCAACAAACAATTGGCAATCCACCCAAGAAAATGTGCCCAACAAAATCCCTGAATAATTCAACATAGATTAGTCCAATGAACACAAACAGAAGTTCAAACACAAAAACCACTTCGAAAAAGCGAATCAAAGATAGACATATTCATCGAATGGTAAAATAAATTTTAGACAAACAAATACCATTTTGTGAATAATAACCAAATGGAGAAAACATGCAGCACAAATAAAACAAACAAAATGGTACAATATGTGATTTCAGTAAAAAAATGTAGAAGTTTTCACTAACCAAATAAAGCAATTGTATAATCAATTAACTAAATAGAGAGTCGAAGATAGACAGATTCATCGAGTGATAGAAGATTCATCAAGTGGTAGAATACAATTTTGACAGATAATTACATACCAATTTAAAATAATAGCAAAATGGGAAAATTGTGCAGCACAAGTAAAACAAATAAACTGGTTACAATTTCAATAAAAAAAATGTTGGTAGAAGTTATTTCACTAACTAAATGAAGCAACTGTATAATCAATTAAGTGCAAATAGGCATTGAACAATCAGTTGTATCAAGTAATACTCCTATTATGAGAGAAATTGATACTTAGTGGAAGAGATCCATGAATGTTTACAGCAATCTACAAATCAGATTCAGACTTGGGGGAAAATTATGTCTAGAAACTACATTTTATACCAATTTATTTAAGGAAGACCATACGTGTCCAAGATTGTCTCTTATCTAAGCACTAAGCAAGTTTGGAGCATGATTTTGCCGAGACCTTCACAGATGTCATTTCATCACAAAAATTGGCACGCATGTGAAAGATACATAAATGTTTGTTGCCAAAAAGTTTCAGATTTTTTTGATTTCTAAAAAGATTGATTTTACTGTAGCAAAGGATGCATGTGAGCTCGAGCTCACATACTCCATCCCCTATACATACACATACACACGTATATATAACTTCTAGAGTTGTAATCACACCAGGAATAAATAAAGTAAACAACAGCCACGTAACATGCCCATGTTTTTTTTCTTCAAAGAAGTGTCAGGATCGGAGCTCTGTCATTTCTATTAGGATGAGTGAGAAATAGTACATAATCAGACTACAGATACGGCAGGCTTTAGAAAGCACACGAAAAGCGGCACTGATTAAAAAAATGATATAGTCAAAACGACAACGACAAGAGAGGAAAGCACACAGAAGAAACAATGTCGTACGGACTGTTCCCCAGCCAGTAAAAAACACTAAACTTACCAAGCAAAACTGTACGCTAGTTCAAAAAATTTGAAACAAAAATCTAGGCACACCACTCATTTCTACACAGCCATATACCAAAATAATACACGTGCCATATTCATATTTACCCATGGGTCATTTTCAGCCAAGTGGTTTAACCTTAGAGCAAAAACTTGGTTAGATATAGTGGTTTTGGTATGTGCGGTCTAGCCTACGAAGAATATTGTTGGTTTATCAACAGGGGTAAATATTAGAGTTACCCCTAAGTTTCAGCAGATTTTTTATTATTCAATTTATGCAAACTGTTGCAATTTTTACCCTTTTAATTTATTTATTTATTGCGTTCTGACTAGTCGGCCCACATGTAAGCGTTGACTTGGATGCCATGTGGGTTGGTTAATTTGGCCAACCCGTTTTCTTTTGGCGCATCCGGTTTTTCTTTTCGGTTGTTTCAACGAGTCCAACCATTGCAATGGTGTTTTGCGGGCATACTATTGTTGTTGGTTGCCTCTTCCTCACCTGCATGGGGTTGTTCATCTGCATGCTGGAGTAGCGGCGCTGCTGGTGTAGTAAGCCCATGCTCACGGGTGGACACGAAGCGAAGATACGTCGAGTGTGCGTTCAGCTCGGGAGTGACAGAGGACAAGAGAGGAAGATGGGAAGAGGTGAAACAGGAATAAAAAAGGGCTCACCACGAACATGCCAGGACGCCTTGCCGAGCTAGGGGGGCTAAAAAAACAATGACACCATTGTCAATGGAGGATATCGAAGTTGACCCTCGTGCGGTCGTGGCTCGAGGAAGAAGGGCTGCTCAGGAACAGCTATAAGAGCTTCGTCACCACACTGAAAAGTCAATAAGGGGAGAACAAAGAGCGGGGACGTGACTGTAGCGATAGATCAATTGCCGTCCCAACAGGCCAGAGACGAGGAAGAAGAAATGGGTGATGGTGATATAGGGCTTCCCGAGTCGATTCCTCCGATGAAGTTGCTCCGTGGGCCAAGATGAAATCTCATAGACATGAAGGCGTTGATGTTGTCGTGTGCTCCAAGGCATGGATAGTGGCTGCCATGCTTGGGGCTCTAATTGTTATGGCCACATGAAAAAAGTTGGTACCGTTAGAACAGGAGCCCAACAAGCGTTTGGAGAAA